ATCATTATATTGCATATTTTGCATATAAACTCGAAAAAATTTGAAATTATATTCTATCAAAAAAAAAAAATACTGAGCCCTCAACGACCCATTCCCCTTTATAAAAAGTAAACAAACTGAGACGTGAGCTTACTTATATACTTAATCATATAGAGGAAACAGGCAGCAACATAAGCAGCAGCAGGAGAAAGCGCTAACTGTGAAGATATATAGCATATAGGTGATTCAGCTATAGGGAATTCTTCTCTGTTTACTTTGTAAGCAATTGTGTTAACTATTTTTTAGAGGGAACGGCGCCCGAGAGTACGAGCTGTGTTGGTGTGTAGGTGTGTATGGGCGTATTCGTTTTCTTTTGGAGTTTTATTTATTTTATTGAGGTATTTCTTTTTAATTTAAAATAATTTTATAATGAAAACGTTAAACAGTCCAGCGGTCTCTCCTTGTGCTCATTCAGCCCCACGTGACCCTCGTGGTTTGCCTTGAGCTCTCCGTTGTCTATTAGGGGCTTTTGAGTTTTCCTCGTTAGAAATATTTCATGAATTTGAATTCTATTGAAAATAAAATAAAGGCGGAGTAATATCCACCTGAAAAAGTTGGTGCGGCGACCGAGACTGACGAAGAAGCCCCAAGCTTTCCTCCGTTCGTTGCTGGGTTTCGAGAGGCCGGAGAGGAAAACAAGTGAAACGAGCTGCATACTCGATAAAATATAATTTGAATTGAATATAATTATCTTTAATTTGTGCAAAACGCTGAAAATATTTTAGCTTTCCTGAGTTGCTGCAGCCATTAACGACAGGTTTCCCTCGGTTTCTCAACGAACCGCCAGAGGTTTCCGCTCGACTCGACTGCACCGCTGCGGTGTACATACACCTCAAATTCTGCAGCCTGATAGCGCTTTCCGGCGTTCATGTTTTCTTTCAGAGTTGAAATCGCCGCTTCTTGCCGGCGAATTCAGCTGGACGTTTGCTTTTTCATGGATTTTCCTCGCGGTAATGAAAACTCCTTTGCTTCTTTGCATGCGTTTCTCTAATTATTATTCGCTTTCCCTTTTCTTTCGGGGTCACCGATCGAGAAGTGGTGAGCAACCGCGGCAGCCATAGGCGATGGAATGCGACTGCGACGGCTCCGGTCCCGTGCTGTTCCACGAGTCGTCGTGCTTTCCTCCCCCTTTTGATCTGAACTGCCGGGCTTCGCCAAACGATGAAACGACGACATTTCCGGTGTACAGGCAGCCCCTCGTTCTCCCCTCCTCCACCGCCGGCGGGAAACGCCGCAGAGGCTCGAAGACACCCGACGACGGCCCCCCCCCAGGGGCCACACGGGTGAAGAAGGCTTGCGTCTGCCTCTGCAGCCACTCGCACTCGCCTTTCTCCCCCTCATCCGAACAAACAATCACAAAGCAGCAGGTGTACGCGTGTTCTTCTGCTGCAAGGACAAAGCAGCAGCACCAGCAGCAGCACCAGCAGCAGCACCAGCAGCAGCACCAGCAGCAGGGAGAAGAAGCATCGTTGCTAGCTGCTGTGGACTGCGCGCCACCGCCAGCTACAACAGCAGCACGGAGCTCGCCTTCGTCTGCTTATTTTGCAGCAAATGAATTTCTTCTTCACTCACACCACCAAAGGCTGGAACGACAGCAGCAGCGAGCAGCACGAGCCCTGATCAGCAGCAGCAGCAGCAGCAGCAGCAGCAACAGCAGGGAGAGCTTTGGTTCCTCTTGTCTTATGTCTCGCGGTGTATATACAGCTCGCCCCACTGAGAGCTTAACCGAGTCAGCAGAACACCACACAAACGCCCGCTTTCTTTTCTCCTCCTCAGGGGGTAGATGCGGCTCTATAAGCGGTGGTGATAGGCTTGAGGGGCCGGTCGCTGCATGCACAGAGTTAAGAATGAATAGTATAGAACAAATACCAGCAGGAGGAGCTGCAGGAGCTGCAGCAACAGAATTCAGGTGTATAGACACCGCAACAAACGCAGCGCAGCGTCAGGCGCCACACGCCGACTCTCTTTATAATAACGTGAATGCATTCATCAAGCAGATGCAGTTTACCTAGAGAGGTTTTTTAATTTCATTTATTATTTATCG